CAGCAGGTGCTTGATAAATATTTGTTGACCACTGGAATACAACACCTTGAATAAACATGTTAGCCTCCACGGGACTTCTTGGACTAAGTCTCTGGTTGTTTAGAAATCTCTGGGGGTGGCTTGGCTATAGAAAGCTGTGAAAAGCAGGCCACTGGGTGTCATGCTGTTCAGAGGGCTCACGCTTATCCTCCAAAAGGCTCACTGGGCATCTTTCTGCCTCTACTGGTGAGGCAACTAAGGGGCAGGGCAGGGTTCCCATTGCTCCAAAGGTATGGAGGTGGTGGGGTAACCTATGGGATACCCTAAGGACATGGGCAGTAATAGGGAGAACCTTGATAAATAAATTCCTGGTCACTTAGTGATGCTGTTAGGCTACTGACTGTCCTTTTCCAGATGACAGGAGAAGCCTTGCTGGTCTCACGTGACCAGGATTCCAGGGCCCCTCAGCTGCTGCCTGATGGGATCTGCATAGGGGATTATTGATGAAGGGGAGGTGAGGCAGCTCTTTACTGTAACACATGCCTTGCTCTGGGACGGCAGCCAGGCAGCTAATTAGAGAGCCCAGCAGCTGTCCAGCCTTTCAGGCAGCAGGCAGCAGCTACCCAGGGCCAGGGGGTGGGGTGGGAAGGAAAGAGGAGGGGCACAGGGCCAGAGACCACCTTCCAAGGTGTAGGGGATGGGTGGTCAGGGTTTGTTTAGAAGGGGACATGGAGAAAGGCACGCAAGGCAGGAGGGGCTGGTTGGGGAGAAGGAAGGAAGGAGAGGAGGGTGACAGGACAGAGTAGCCTGCAAGTGAGGAAGAAGACAGATTGGTGAGATGTCCGGCAGGCAGAGAAACCTAGACTCTAAGCCCTAAACGAGGGGGCATGGAGTGGAAGGACAGGGTCAAATGGAGCGTGTGGACAGCCTGTTTCCCAGGTACACCAACCTCTTCCATGGCAGTCAGGCCCAAGGGCTTGGGTCTTCCCCTGAGGGAGCTGAGTAGACACAGGTGCATTTGCACTTTCACATAGTCTCTCACTGACTCCAGAAGTTGCCAAATCTGCTTGTGTTCTGAGCTGGTCTTACTACAGGACAAGTGAAAGCAATTCTGCATCCCGTGGGAAGAACCAGGACACTGAGTAAGCAGAGGGCTCCCCCAGTGGGTTTTGGGGGGCATTTACTCTTTACTTTGTAGGCACCTAGGGTTGAGGGGAGATCTGGGGACGAGGAGATTGAGAGGGACAAAGGGATGTATTTGCCTGCCACTTCCTGGCTCCAGTCTTAGGTTCTGGGCCATGGAGAGAGGGTGGAGAGTGGGGGGAGGTTTGGTTTTTAGGTTCCGGTCAGGGAAGTAGAGCTTCAATCCTGCAAGTCCAGCTTACCCTAAATAGTTATAGTGGAGGGGAGAGAATGATGCAGAGGGACTTTCCTGCCAGCAGCTGCTGGTTAAACCTCTTTGGGAAATGAATGCTATGTGCATGAAAACTGGATGTGCCTTTTGAGAGTGCCAGCACATTGTAGAAATAACAGAATAGGCATTGTTATTCTCTGACCTGAGCCTCAGCTTGGACCCTTGCCCACATAGGAGCCTGCAGTTTCTCCTGGGATGCCTGGGACATTTTGTTCCTTCCCTAGCCTTCCTTGTGTGACATGTCTTCTCTGTTGTCCCTACCCAAGGCATCCACTCGTCTGTCCTGACCCCTCTGTCCAGGTGATGGCTCTTGGAGGTGGGAGGAGAGTGAACATCATCCTTTATTCCCTCATTTGCAAAGATAGCCCTGGCTGCTATAAACCAATATTTATGGTGCTTTGTGGGAGAGAGCCCTTCCATGATGAGGTGGCCTAAAAATTAGGGAAGAACACTAGACATCACTGTTTGGTTGATAACACTGGATGGTGCAATCACCCAAGCATTTAGCTGGGCCCTTCTCAGCCTTGCTTGTCCATCCATCCAAAAGAAATTCCATGGCCTCGAGGAATTCATCATGTGGAGGGGGAAACAGACAATAATAACTTTAAGATGGGACATTATGTTTCAATGGAAGGATGTTCAAAGTCCTGTGGGAACATCAGTGATGGAATAGCTGGGGGCTTAGGAGGGTTCACAAAGGAATGAGGAGGGAGCAGGTCTCAGAGGAGCGCCTGGGCATGTTGATGAAGCTGGACAGACAGACTTGGGCTGTATGCTTACAAATAAGCGGCTTACAGAACAGACTAAGTAGATTATAGTGAATGAGGGACAGGTGCATGCAGACGTATGGGAAGCAGCTTGAAGTCATGATGTATGGGGAGAGGGGTGATTCTGGAGCCTAAAGACCAGGGTTTGAGTCAAATGTGTAGATTTGGCCTAATCTCTTAATGTCTTGAGATTCAGAGTTTTCGTCTCTGAAATGGGGTTGGGGGTGGGAGTGGGGTAGGGTGGGTGGTGATAACTCCTGCCCTCCCTGCAGGAGTCTTGGGAGAATCATGAGGGATGATGTACTGGAAAAAGAGTTTTAAGTTCTGCCCACATTAGTTGCTATAAGGGCTCTTCACACATTCATATGCTCCAAAAACTTCTAGTTCACGCCCTGTGGTCCACAAAGGAGCCTCATGCCACCTACACCAGGGACCTGCTCTGAGGGGCCAGGGAGTGTCAGCGGGGGCTGGGGACAACATGTGTACTTGGAGGCAGGGGTGGGACCCCTGCTAGACTGTTGCCTCCTTGTCCAGCCCCCAGCAGCTCCCTGGTGGAAGAGCCTCAGACCAGGAAGCAGGAGGTGTCCGGTGCCAGGCCAGCCTCGGAAAGGAGCCTCTTCTGACTGCAGCGGCTTCATCTGCCAGGGCGGCATCTCAGCCAGCAGCGGCGGGCTCCCAGGGCTGACTGCAGCGACCAGCAGGCTGTGCTGCCAGGATGTGGGCTTTGGTTTCTGTTTCTGTTTTGTCTCGTGCTTGTTGATGTGGCCTGCTTAGTTCCCCTGGGAAGGGGAAGTGCCGGTGGGTGGGATTGAACTCCCAGGCACGGGTCATGGTGGTACTGGGGTTAGAGGGGGTATCGGACATGCCCCATGAAAGCCCTTTCCTTGAGGTAATGGGTATGTGCCAGGCTGGCTGGGAGAAGGGAGGAGGATCGACAGGTGGGGCAGGTTGAGGCTTCTGTATGTAGAGCAGCTGGGGAGGAGCCAGGGAGCATAGCAGCCCACTGCATTTTGCTCTCCGTCCTTCACTTGTCTCAGTGCAGGAAGAGGGGGGTGCAGCGGCTGGTGACCCAGGGGTGCACAGCCTTCTGGGCCACAAGCACCTGTGCATGCAGTGAATTCTGCCCTTTCACTTCTCCTCGGCTCCCATGCTGCCTTGCAAGTTGCCAGCTCAGGGAGCTCAGAGAGCCTGGGAGATATGGGCAGGGAGGAAGCTGGCTGTGGGCACCAGCTCGGGTGGCGCCTCTGTGGAGGCCTGTTTGGCCATCCGTGGGGGGAATGGTCCCGGCTTCCACCCCTGTCCTGCTATAGAGCCACGCTGCACCTGACTTCTGTCCTTAGTCTCGTGCAGATGGTGCTGCACTCAAGGGGTTTTCAGAGAAGCTTCAGGACTTTCATATAAAGCCGGAATATCTATCAAATGTTCAGATCTTAGGTATATATTAAAAAGATGTATGTGGCCAAGGGCCAGATTTGTATCAGCATGTAGTCTGTTTTTTTTTTTTTAATTTTTTAATGTGGGTTTTTTTTTTTAGTTCGTTTTTGAGAGACAGAGACAGAATGCTAGTGGGGGAGGGGCAGAGAGCGAGGGAGACACAGAATCTGAAGCAGGCTCAAGGCTCTGAGCTGTCAGCACATAGCCAGATGTGGGGCTAGAACCCACAAACCGTGAGATCATGACCTGAGCTGAAGTCGGATTCTTAACCGACTGAGCCACCCAGGCACCCTTATGTTATTGATGTTAATAGGAAGGGCCTCAACAATCACAGTGATATAATAGAATGAAATAAATATTAGGGTGGTGGGATTATTGCAGGGAGAGGGTCTAGCACACATTTTGTTGGTGTGCTTGTTTTTCTGTGTAGTTGTGCTTGACTCCCCAAATGCCCTACTTGTCTGGGGTTCTTGACCGCCCTTGAGAAAGATGTAGCCACTGCAGGGTGAAGGTGAGAGTGTAATTCGAAGCTAAATGAGAATGGCACTGGATTCTAAAATTATACCCCCTCTCAGATTTACAAATGTGCACACATTTACTCATGGTGCAAGAAGCCCTAAGTCCTAGCCCCGAGTGTGAATTGCCTGGGATCCATCCCAGGCTGTCATTGCTGGATTAACCAGACCTGAGCAAGCAGGATGGCACAGAGGAGGTAATAGGTTCCAGGACAGGGGCCCAGTGGCCTGGATGGGCTGACTGCCTGGTACTGAACCCGGAGCCCAGGCAATTGTAGCGTTCACCTTGAGGCTGCCCCTCCGACTAGCCTGGTGGGTTGGAGCTGGGGCAGTTGAAGCTAATGAACGCCTCCTCTTTTATTCCCAGGGACACATGGAAGCCACCCATCCACTAGCCAAGGATCAGCTGAGCCCTGGGGCTGATGCTTGCCCACACTGCTGAGAATGGCACGGAGGCCCAGCCAGGCAGCAGGAGAAAGGTTAACCTGGGACACTCCTGGACAGTGATCCTGATGTCTGTTCTGAGTTGTGCACTCAAGGGTGTGATAAGTGAGTATGTTACAGGATCCCCGGGGATCACCAGCCCTCCCTGCCTCGGCAGCATGGTCACATCACAGGTCTGGAGGTTCTCATTATGAGCCTGTGTTCTGTCCAAGGGCCTGTCACAGGGCTATAGTTGTGGAATAGGAGGGGAATGTCCAGCAGTTTCAGGCCGTTTCATGTGTTGGAGCCATCTTATAGCCACATGGCCTTTAAAAACTGTGCCAGACCCAGATTGGCTGACACAAATGATGTCAGACACCCAGCACATAGGAGATGACATCTTCCCAAATTCTCTCTCTTATCTGTAGGCTCGTGGATGCTTTGGGCCCTGGGCTTTACCTCTCTGCAATGAGAACTGTACCTCATCTGGGATTCCAGATTCTGCTCCGATGCTATGAACAGTTCACAAGGCCTTGGGTAGAGCACCCAGGGCACTGGGAGGTGAGGGATTGGTGGTGCCTTAGCTGCCATAAAAGTGGCCACCAAGGGGTCAAGAGGAGCAAGTTCTCTGCTGCTTTTGGCCTGTTAGGAGGAAGTTTTCCTCCTCCCAAGTCCAGACAACTGCATGGAGAGCAGGGGACCCCCAACTGTGGAGTCTCACCTGTCCTCATATGGGCTTTCTTTCCAGCCTTAACCTCTGGCTTTTCCTCTGTGGTGCCTTAGAAAATGACGATTGGTTGGGGCTTCTGGGTGTCTCGGTTGAGCATCTGACTTTGGCTCAGGTCATGATCTCATGGTTCGTGGGTTTGAGCCCCACGCCAGGCTCTGTGCTGATGGCTCAGAGCCTAGAACCTGCTTCTTGGATTCTGGGTCTCCCTCTCTCTCTGCCCCTTTCCCGCTCATGCTCTGTCTCTTTCTCTCTCTCAAAAGTAAATAAACTTAAAAATTAAAAAAAAAAAAAAAAAGACAATTGGCTGCTTTCCCAAGCCCCAAAGGCCTGTCTGGCCTAAAGGCTATTGTCTGCATAGGGCAAACAGTCCCAGTGAGGGATCAGGGACCAGCAGGCAGGGAAGTCCCCTGGAAGACAGGGCAGGGAGAGCCAGTGCTTTTACACTCCTGACTGGATGGGCTATTGGGAGCTGCTGGACTGGCATATAAGAACCGGGAGGCTTAGCTTCCACACAGGAGCATGCAGGGAGGGCAAAGGGTAACTAGGTATTTCTCAGCTGTAGGTAGATGTGGACTCTAGTGCCGGTGGGAGTTTAAAACTCAGGGCTAGCATTTATTTTTCACTCAGCCTGGGCTTGCAAAATCAGTTTATGGTTGGAGGCTCTTTCAGGAAGTTGATTTGTAGCTAGGGTAGTGCAAGCCTGAACTGTGGGTGTGGGGTGGGTGCACAGAGATGGCCACAGAGGCCACTGTGGGAGCACGGTGACTCAGACCAGAGACCTATTCCCCACATAACACAGAGTTCCCCAGGACAATCTACACCATCATCCCTAAGACTGTTGTACCCTTTGGTCCAGTGATCCCATTTCTGGAGTTATTAAGAAATCTTTCTTTAAGGTACACCTGGGTGACTCAGTCAGTCAAGTGTCCAACTCTTGATCTTAGCTCAGGTCTTTATTATTATTATTTTTTATTAATTATTTATCTTTTTTTTCCTTCCAAGATTGTATTTAAATTCAAGTTAGTTAACATATAGTTTAGCATTGGTTTCAGGAGTAGAATTTAGTGATTCATCACTTACATATAATACCCAGTGCTCATCACAGGTACCCACCTTAATAGCCATCTCCCATCTAGCCCATCCCCCACCTGCCTACTTCCATCAACCCTCAGTTTGTTTTCGATAGTTAAGAGTCTCTTATGGTTTGCCTTCCTCTCTGTTTTTAGCTGATTTGTCCTTCCCTTCCTCTATGTTCATCTGTTTTGTTTCTTAAATTCCACATATGAGTGAAATCACGTGGTATTTGTCTTTCTCTGACTTATTTTGCTTAGCATAATACACTCCAGTTTCATCCACATCATTGCAAATGGCAAGATTTCATTCTTTTTGATGGCTGAGTAATATTCCATTGTATATTTATACCACATCTTCTTTATCCATTCATCAGTTGATGGACATTTGGTCAGCTCAAGTCTTTATCTCAGGGTTGTGAGTTCAAGCCCTGTGTTAGGCTCTACACCCAGCATGGAGCCTACTTAAGAAAAAAAAAAAGAAATCTTTCTTTAGGATATATTCCTAGAGAAGGAAAAGGCTGAATTCTTTTGTTACAGGTGTCATTGTAATAGTGAGAGTGGGAAACAATTGTTCTCTCTCCCTTTTCTGAACACCTAAGTTAAGTAACTTATAGTTTTCCACCTGGTGGAATATCACATAGCCATTATAATAATGAGAACAAAAGCAATAATAACAACTGGGGGAAATGATTATTTTATAATAAGTGAAAATGTCAGGTTACAGAATAAGTACATTAAAGCAACTTGTAAAATAAACACATGAGAAAAAATTGCAAGGGAGAAGTGATAATGGCTGCTAGTTTGGTGGAATTATGAATTCCTTTTCTTTCTATGATACATGGATTTGCTTCTTTTAAAGCTAAATGTAATCCAGGTGAATATACAACACACCATTAACAGTGACTTTCTCTAAGATGTGGGGTGATGGAAGATTTTTACTTTCTAGGTCATTCCTTTCCATAATGTTTAAATTTCAGGTGTGAGCACATGTTACTTTTATAATCAGGAAAAATAATAAAGATATTTTAAAATGTTAGCATTGAAAAATTTTAAAGGCTATATCTGCCAAGAAAGGGGAGAAGAGAAAGGCTGAGCTGCTAGCTGTTTACACCTGCCCTTATCAGTATTTAAGAGCCTGTGCCTGTGTGGGCCCATTCATTCATTCATTCATTCATCCATGCCAGAAGTATTAGTGGGTCTTATCACCAGGCACTGTTGTAGGCACTGGGAACCCAGCAGTGAACAAGACAGAGCCCCTGCCCTCATGGAGCATTCATTCTAGTTGGAGGAGACAGACAACAAACAAGTAGCAAAATAGTAGAAAGTGAAAGTGCTGGAGGAATGAAATATGATGATGTCAGTGATGGGAAGGCTGTTTTGGATTCGAGACCAGAGAAGGTCTCAGGGGTGACAGTTGAGCTGAGATCTGAGTAACAATACAGAAGCAGCCAAGTGAGGTCTGGAAAGAGCCTTGCAGACAACATTCAGGATGCCCAGCCTCAGGGCCCCAACTGCTAGGTGCCCTTTACTGCCTGAGCCCTGGCGAACCTCTGTGCCAGGCTGTGTTCCCCAGGCCCACTTGTCCTCCTGTGTCTGCCAGCTGGGATTTGCTTAGCATCTGAGGCCTTCTAAAATCCTCTTTGGCCTGCTGCTTTGTGTGGAATGGTTGCTCCTGACACTCTCCCTGGTGCTGCTCCAGGCACCAGGCTTCTCTGGGCAGTGTGATGCTGGTCACTGCTCTTGGCTGAATGTCCATGGCAGGGCTGGGCCATCTGAGATTCCCAGCCAATATGAGGGTGGGCTGGCAGTCAGGGTGGCCTGACGGGGACCAGTGTGTGTCTTGGTGAAAGGTCTTTGAATGGCACACACCTTGAGGCCCTCAGGGGTGGCTGCTACCATGGTCCTGTGAGGGTCCGCTATGACCCTGGAGGATCATTGTGTGGATCTTGCCAGAACTTGGCCTTAGAACAGAACTTGGCCTCTCAGAATAGGACGAGAGCCTGCAATGGCTCTGACACCTGTTCTGGGCTTCATTGATGATCTACCTAGAGGTTCATGTTGCTCTTGCTTCTTGTTTCCTCTCCATATACCATCCTAGTCTTCCAAAAGCAGAAACTCAGAAAGTGGTGGTGCCTATAGAGGAGCCTGTAGTCAGCTTCAAGGGCAGTGCAGTGTGCTGATTGGGAATGAAGGCTCTGGAGCCAGACTTGCTGGGTTTGAATCCTAGCTCTGGCTTTTATAGCTGTAATTCTTAAGACTTATTAAGACTTCCCCTTCCTCAATTGCCCCATCTATAAAATAGGCTTGAATATTATCTGAGTTAATACCTGGTAAGTGCTGAGAAGAGTGGCTGATGACTACTGTGACTTGGGAGGTAGCAGGAAGACCATCCCAAAGAGTTTTCTGGGGGATGCCCATAGCAAGAAAGGGTGGAACTCTATGGTGTCTGGGCTAACCAGTGACCACAGGTATTTAGATCTGCTTGTTTCCTTTCTGGCCCTGAAGCAAGCCCATATGTTCCTCCCACCCTCACCCCTCCCAACTTGATTACCACAGTGCAAGGTGAGGATGGTTTCAGACCTTGCATCTTTCACCCAGATGTTAGGACACCTGCCCACCCCTCATAGATTCCACTCACTTCCAGCACAGAGCCTATCAGGGGGCTGGACTCAGAGTCCCCCCCCCCGGCCCCCCACCTCCACTGCCTTGCTCCCAGGGGCCCCCTATAAGGGCTGTGTCTCTCCCCAGCACATGGAACTGTAGCGATATTCGTGCCTAGGAATGGGGAAGTAAATGAGGTGAAAGAGGCCTAGTAATGAGGCAAAGCCCCGCCCAGCCTGGTTGCATGTAAGAGGAATCCCGATTTTCTATCAAGATGCTCCTCTGGACAGAAATTCCCAGGGTCATTGTGTTGTGGCACCTTAGCTTCCTGGAACAAGATGAGAGTTTTGAGTAAAACCAAAGGCAGTTGCCTTATCTGGTTTTGCCTCCAGCCTGTCTCAGACTTGTGGCATTCTCTTCGCCCCTCTCAACTTGCTGTGCTCTCTGTGTAGGGAATAACTCAGCAGGTTCTGGAAGCTGGTGAGATACTCCTAGGGAGCAAGATTCTGACCCCCTCCCCACAAAGTCATCTATCACCTGTCCCCTTGGGGGGGGGGGCGGTGCCCTGCTCTGCCAAGTCACCCTGAGTTCTGGCCCTTGGCTGGAACTCCGTATTCCCAGGCCCTTTTATCAACAAGTATGAAGGCTCTTGTACATGAGTGTTGTTCTCCATATCCTGCATGTGAAACCGTCCACAGCTCTTTTCTCCTTCTTGTTTTCATCCTTGCCCACGCTCTCCTCCTCACTTCACCTTGAGTTTTCTTTCCTGGGCCATCCTGTCTTTGTGTCATCGTTCTCAGGACGGTTGTGTTTGTCACCAGGAGAAAGAGGCCAATGTCCAGTGAGCTACTGGTTCTTCCTGATGCAGGCCTTCCCAGGTCTCTGATCTCAGTGCTGAGCAAGGAGGTACTGGAAGAATGTGGGTAAAGGGCTCGGGTGGGGGGAGGCCTGGGCAGGGATACGGGTCTGTTGGGCCAGCAGAGGGTCAGGGAGCCTGTCCCAGCTCAAAGTTTAAGCATGGCTCCCATGAGTATTAGCATTGGGTTTGGGGAGTGGAGTTTTGCAAATCTACCCAAGCCAATGCCGCTTCTAATGTTAGTGTCTGTTCCACCACAGTGTGAGCTGCCATCCCAGCTGATAACACTGTCTCACATCCC